CATCGACCGTTAACCTTGACCATCACGATCGCCTGACCTATCTCCAATTGCACATATCTGGGACATGACAGGTCGCAGGCTCTTGAATCTGCAACACTCTCCACAGACCGTATCAGGTCTTACTCACGAAGTTGGAGTACCCGAACAGGATTTCGACCACCTTATCAGCACGATGCCCAGGCGTGTCAATGAGTGTATAAGAAATCGTGGATCCTGACGAATCAAGCTGAATATTTAATCATTTTACTAGTGAGGGACACTAAACAGATATGCCAAAAATTATTAAAATCGAATAAACATATGTAGGTGTTTACCTTTTTTGTCACTCAGTATACTTACACTCCCGATGATGTCCTAGCTATGCCCTTCTAAGAAACTAGCGGGCGCATATGGCAGAGAGGAATGTTTTATGGTTTTTTAAATAAACTTATACCAAACCAGGGTATAAATCAATTATAATACGTTATTAGCTCTGAATGAGCGACCAGCTCAAGCGTTTCATTATCTAGTGTAATTCAGCTAAAAGTCTTTGCTGCAATATCCCCTTAGAGCGCCTGCTATTGCACGATCAGGGGCCAAGTAAATCGAGTATGGATTGCTCCTTCCAGAACAAAAGTAGCTCGCAAGGAGTTAAGCGGACAGTATCTAATCAATGAACGACTTTCTTACGTCATTAATTGGTATTTCCGATCTGGAATTTGTCATGATGCATTTAAAACAACAGTTATCACTTCTGTTTATAAGAGCGGTGACAGAATGGAAACATAAAATTATAGACCAATATCAGTACTATCGAATATAGCCAAAATTTCCGAAAAATTACTACAAGAAAGGATATTACAATTTTCTGACAAAAACAAAATTATATATGTTCTGACCAATATGAATTTAGAAAAGGAAAATCTACTACAGACGCAATTTTGGATGTAATGGATGAAATAAGCTCTAATGTCAACCAAAAAATACCTACCATTGGTACCTTGGTTGACTTAAAAAATGCCTTTGATACGGTTAACCATGTCGAGCTTCTGAAAGTTATGGAAAGATTGGAATTTAGGGGAACGTCAACAATCCTTTTAAAAAATTACCTTTCAGGTCGGGCACAGACTGTGAAAATCTCTAACACTTACAGTAAAAAAATGGACATCAAGTGTGGTGTGCCTCAAGGATCAGTACTAGGCCCACTATTATTTAGTCTCTACTAGATGACTTATTCAAAATTAACAATACTGGAAAGATTATATGTTTTGCAGACGACACCCTCATATTATATAAAGCTGATGACTGGAGCCCACTGAAGCAAATAGCTGAAAAGGATTTTATAAGGATCACTGACTGGTTTGAAACTAAAATTTTAACAGTTAACTTCAAAAAAACTAAATTTGTTGCATTTACATTCAAAATTTTTACCGACCTTCGAACAGATTTCCGGTAATCATCATGGCCAAAAAAGAACCATCGATAGAGTTAACACTTTGAAATATCTTGGAATATTTATGGACTCACATTTAAGGTGGGATAACCATATTAAATATGTTATCAAAAAAATCAGAAAAAACTCAAAATGCTTGCTAACATTCTAACAGAAATCTGCGAATCCTGTACCATGCCTTAGTTGAAACCCTTTTAATATACGGCATCACAGCCTATAGCTGGGTAGCCGAACCTTTAAGCATCAACGTGACATTTTTTTAAAGAAATGTTTAATGAGGTCATAGTGCCATCTAATAATTTTGACTTAGGAAAATTGGGAAAATAATAATAACAAATATTATCAACTCTTTATTTGCTACAAAAAAGGTACATGTTGCAATGTTTCAATTAAATTCGTAATTTCTGGGAAAGTAATAATAATAAATATTATCAATTCTTTATTTTCTATAAAAAAGGTACATTTTACAATGTTTCAATTGATTTCGTAATTTCAGTTAAAGTAAAACTTCTGTTGTTGCAGATTAGATGATAAATAAATTATATCAGGGTTGTAAGATGTTACTTTTAGCACAATGCATGCTGAACTGCATTCGTCTGTCAAACAGTTTCTAACTGAGTCTTTACTATTGTTCGTTTCTGAAAATAATGACTGGCAAGCTTATGTAGACGAAAATATCATTAATATAGCATGAGCCAGCTTCTTCAAACAGTTAAGTGTGTCCGGTAATGCATTCCACGTTTTCAAAATTTTGTTATTAGCGTACTCACTTATATCACTTGTCAATATTTCGGTTTCTATTACCTAGTTCTAACTTTATCCTTGTTTCAATAAATTTTTGAATCCATAATGAACTGGACTGGAAATCAATCAGCTGCATTTCGAATTCTTCGATTTCCAACCAATCGAATTGGAACAAGTTCAATTTATTAAATGACGTCACGTCAGGGTACATAATAAACCTGATTATTTCCGATAATTCCTTGAACTGCGTAAATCTCGCTGAAAATTCCTCCAGTCATAGAAATAAATTCTTCAGTAACTCTTTCTTTTTCTGGTGTCTCGTGTATATCCAAATCGTTCATATATTTTTTCAAGTTTAGAAAATACTTGTAATTTCTTGTGATAATATCGTTCCTGAAAACTTGCAGTTTAGCCTTAATTTTGAAAGCCACATAACATCGGTATTGTTCAATTTTCCCTCTCAATTTGAAGAAACAGCCTGATTTTGTCCAAGCAACTAACAAATCTTTCAAGTACGTTCCCGCGGATCAACCAGCGAACATTATTATACATCAGTAAGCCATTGTACACCGAGTTGACTTCATCCAACAAAGCATCGGACTTTCGCTTGTTTAAAGCCTGTGACGGGATGAGGTCGACTATTTTTGAAACTACCGCTAGTATGTTATCAAGAGATGTTAAACCACTCTTAGCACACAAGACTTGTTGGTGAATGATGGCTCACGACGTTTTAAAACACCTCTACCTACTTGCGTTCGCTCGTCATAAAATAAATACCTACCTACTTTCCACTTTTTCTCTTAATGCAAAATGATTTAGTGACTGGTGACGTGGCCAAACTAATTGTGTTGCGTGCCATCAATGGCACGCGTGCCTTTGGTTCGCCATCACTGGCCTGGGGTGCCGCCTGCAAGACATCTTCTCTCATCTGACCTGGATATAGCACAAAAAGCTATTTTGAAAGCTATTTTACATAAGCTAAGACTATATCCGACGAATAACTTATATCAGGAAACAGGGAAACTTGATACAAGACAACTTTATTTCTTACATGCCACCACCTTATACCATAAGTATTGTAATGAAAAAAAATCCTATAAACACGAGCATAACAACGATTTCGAATAAGCTCCAAAGACCACACAAAACATTATTCAAAAAATCATATAAACTCTTAGCAGCTAAATTATACTAAGTGACATATAAATCCGAACACCCAGTTTAAATGGTTTTATTTCAATAAAAGTTGGTGAATGTATTTATCTTACTGTAAATAACAAGTGAAAAAATTTTCAGCCTTATCAATTGGACATTCCGGTTTTTATACTGCTCTTTTTTAATTCACTAACGCTCTAAAAATGAATATTTTAGCCGCAGTAAAGAATCAACGTTGGCGGATTTTGGTTCTTGACATTCTTTACGATCGGTTACGATGCCTAGAGTACGGAGACCTGTACGATTTCGTCAACTTAGTGAGTTTGATAGGGGCCATATAGTGGGACTTCGGGAAACTGGACTTTCTTTTCGGGCAATTGCAGTTAGAGTGCAAAGAAGTGTAGACACTGTGGTTAGGTGTTCTCAGGCATGGCTTTGAGAAGGCCGTACGCAAAGAGCAAGGGGCACTGGACGCCGCCGTAGAACAACAGACCGTGAAGATCGCCGCCTAAGATTATTGGCCTTAAGGGACCGTTTCTCCACTACCAGGTCAATTGCAAATGAATGGTTTGCAGAAGACCTAGTGGCATGCGAAGTTTTTACCGACGAATGAGAAGTTTTGGCTTGTTTTCATACCGGCCACACTGGGAATCCACAGTTTTTTGTTGAAAGACATGTTCATCACACTGTTCGAGTTATGGTTTGGGGTGCTATAGCTTATGGTTCCAGGTCACCTTTAATCTTCATCAGAGGTAACATGAACGCGCAGCGTTATATCCACGAAGTTCTAGAACCCCATCTTTTACCCTATCTTGACACCCTGGCAGATCCAACTTTCCAACAAGATAATACCCGACCACATGTTGCAAGAGTCACAATAGACTTCTTTCAACATAATGATGTCACATTGTTACCATGGCCACCAAGATCTCCCGACTTATCCCCAATTGAGCACGTGTGGGATATGATGGGTAGGAGATTGCTCAATTTGCAACGTCCTCCTCAGACTCTAGAAGCACTTCAAGAGGAGTTGGTGGTTGCCTGGAATGAGATACCACAGGAGGACATTGACCACCTGATCAGAAGCATGCCTAGGCGCGTTGGAGAATGCGTAGCACATCAGGGTGCATCCACACATTATTAAAGGTGAAAGGGCTTTAAAGCAGTGCAATCATTTTGAAATTTTTATCATTTATTTATTATGCTTCGTTACGTACTTATACAAAATTTTATTAAAATAAAACCATTTAAACTGGGTGTTCGGATTTATATGTCACTTAATATATATAACGTAGTCCCAAATGAAATAAAAATACTTAATTTTGGAAAAAAATTTAGACGAAAATTGAAAGACTGGGTTTGTACTGAGCATCGAATGACTATACATAATTATATAGAAAACTAAAACTACAAAATTCCAAATACATTAATACTGTTTAGAATTAACAATAATAATTGTTATACACATATGATTGATTGTTAGTTATTAAGATATAATCCACACACAGGCGATGCCTTCTGTGGTTTTTTCATATTTGTTTGCCCATTTATTGTATTTTGGCGAATAAATATTATTATTATTTACTTTTATGGTAGTTCAAGCTATGTAACAGTCATGGTAACAGACTCTATGTATGATTGTGAGGTCAACTAAAAATAATTGTTTCAGACCAATTCTTGGCAAATGACTTGGACGACCTGTACTCCAACTTCCTCCACCATCGTGCTAGGCGAGCACCTCCTCCAGAAGATGACAGATGTGGTCCACCCAGGCACAGACCGAAGTTATGCTGCGCAGAGGAAGTGTTTAAAGCGATGCACGAAGCTGACAGGGACATCAAGCAGCTGTGTTTCAAAGAGATAACTGGCATGGACAGGCCGGAGAAGCCGCCTCATTTTGATCCATTCAGATGTGAGAATATGGAGAAGCACAGGAGTGAAATTAATGTAAGCAAAAGAAATCGTGTCAAGCAGGTTGAGTCTGTTCTTTACACGTAATTCTACCACCAGTTGAATTGTGTCCAGTTTATTTAAAAGATATAGTTAGCTGGTTTGTCATGATAGTTTGATAGTCATCTGGTTTGTTCGTATAACCTGTTTGCTGATAATCAACAAACTGATAGTTGGCGACAAGTCATGATCAAGTTTACACAGTTAGCTGTCGCTAACAACTAATCCGCTGTGCGTACAGAAACTTCTGACTGTTTGATGACTGTCAGATTAGTCAGCAAATAATTTGCAAGTAAATTGTCAGAGCTCGAAATCAAGTACAATAATTATTCGAATGTATAATTTTTGAGAATGAAGTAGACAATTTTGGAAAAGTTGGGGTATGTTCATGTGCTGTAAACCGAAATGATCTAGGATTTATCATTCAACTGCCCGAATGTGCAGGAATTTTTCGCTAGAGAGGAAAACATGGGACACTTTGTAAAAAAATAATAGCATCCAAAAATGTCAAGTAGATTTACTCAGTAATTGCCATTCAATTCTCATTTAAAATGTATAAACAAAAATCGAAGAAACGTCAAATGACAAGTTGAAGAAGTAAATAGTAAGAATTTTGGATAAACGTCTGCAGTGATTATGCATCAGAAACGTACACAGTATTGTGAATGACTTTTAATAGAACTCGAATAGTAGGGTTTTTTGTTCCCTGGTCCCTTGTCGCCCAGCCTCGAAGTGTTTGCACAATCAGTATTTTCATATTCTAGCTCTGTAAGTCCAACTCAAAGCTGATGAAAAACAACAAAATAACGAATTCTGGAGGTATTGTGATACAGCTTTTTTTCACGGGTGTCCACGGAGATGGAGTGGCTGACTGTTTCTACTGGGGTGAAAATAATATTTTCTCAATACAGGGTATCTCAAATTTGACTCTCACCATTGGGATCTCGGAAACTTTCAGGGATACGAAGTCACTTAAATAGGGGCAAAGTTGCGTATTTAGATAATCAGCAAAATGTCACTTAGAGAGTTTCGAAATTGAAAGTACTCCCGGAAAGAGGCGTAAAAACGAAATTTCCCAAAATGGTTTTAATTTTTTCCTCACTTGATTGGTGAAATTTCAAAATAAGTTGCACGTCAACTCTGCCACATGTTCTCCTCTACAAGATGGCACAATTAGGATTTCAATATGACGTTTCGTTTATGTCATACATTGATATTGCAGAACCGTAGTTATTCCAGAAGTTCCTAGGTAGGCCCTAAAATTATCAGATTACATTTGTTTGCATGGCAACAGACTTTGGAAAACTGTAAGCATCTCTGCTGGACATCACTTATGCAATAGGGTGCAAGGTCATATTTACATCGTTTTATTCTTGTTTCAGTGTGTATTCCAGTGCGTAGCACAGAAGAAGGGATTGGTAAGTATATACAAGTTAAGTTTATCGCATCAATGAAATTTTTGCATCTAATATCAATATACAGGGTGTTTCAGTTTATTGTTGCATAACTTTAAGATTCGATAGAACTTTTAAAATTAATGCATAAAGTCTATATAAACATGGGTCGAAAAATGCGTGGCTTCCGAAATACAGGGTGTTTAAATTTACTTTCTATAATAGTTTTTTTTAAATATTTTGAACAACATATTTGATGTATAACAGTGAAAATTGGTATACAAGGGTTTTTTGGGCATAGTTTTACTGTAGCCGCTAGAGGGCGCTCTCTACTGTACCTGTAGTGTATTAAAATGACCAAAAATTTTTTCTTAGTGCAATTTTTTGCTTTTTGAATAAAAAAACTTATTCTTCACACTTTTCGACATAAAAAAGCCCTCTTGTGAATTTTCGTTATAGTTAGCCGTTTTTGAGATATTTAGATTTTTAAGGTTCGATGCATTTTTAATTATTCATGATAAAATAACTTTAAAAAGTCAGTATCTCGATAATTTCTAGAAGTAGGCAGTGCGTGCAAATATTTTTGTAATTGAAAGCAGAATAAGGTTAAACGTCAATTAGTTGACAGTTAGTTTTGTTGTCTGTTGAAACCTTTTTTTGCATTTGTGCATGCACGAAATTTAGTTTCTTTTACCTGTTTTTTTTTTGTAAGTTTTATAAAAATGCCATTTTTATTCTCCAATCAAGAGTTAGCGGATATTAATTTTGTGTATGGCTTTGTAAATGGAAACGCAGCACAAGCAGCCAGAGAATACGCACGAAGATTTCCAAACAGACGACATCCAACTCGCTCAGTATTTGTAAGAGTGCATCGCCAAATAATTGAAAATGGTTTTGGAAATCTCCAAAGGGATCAAAACATAAATGTTCGTCAGCGTAGATTTACACGTATGATTCTGCGTGAGTTTGATAGAGATCCGACCACAAGTGTTAGGAGAGTTTCTGATGCCTTGGGAATTTCAGCAAGCCATGTTCACCGTGTTCTTAGAAATGACCATAGACGTCCTTACCATTTGCAACCTGTGCAAGGACGGAGAACGAAGAATCACATTTTGTCAGTGGATTCTTGATAGAACTGATAATAATAGGGAGTTTTTAAGTAACGTTTTATGGACCGATGAGTCATGCTTCACTAGACGTGGAGTGGTAAATTTTCATAATCAACATATTTGGTCGCATGAAAATCCGCATGCAGTTCGGGAAAGAAATTTCCAGCATGAATTTAGTGTGAACGTGTGGATTGGTATCTACCGTAATCGACTATTTGGACCTTACCGTTTGCCTGCAAGGTTAAATGCGACCTTCTTGGAATTTTTAAAGGCTGAACCTGCAAATATGTGGGATGATGTTATGTTAGATTTAAGAAGATTGGCCTGGTTCCAGCTTGATGGTTGTCCAGCTCATTATTCGAGAATAGTTAGAAACTGGCTGGACGAAAATTATCCAGAAAGATGGATCGGCCGTGGAGGACCAGTCGCCTGGCCTCCACGATCCCCTGACCTAAATCCATTAGATTTCTTTGTGTGGGGATTTCTAAAAGAAAAAGTGTACCAGACTCCCGTAACCACAACCGATATGCTAATAGACAGAATCAGGAATGCATGTGATGAAATAAGGCCTTATTTGAATAATGCTATACCACGTTCCATCATTCGTAGATGTGAATTGTGTATTGAACAATTGGGTTTACATTTCGAGCAACTACTTTAGATTTTGTCTGTTTGTCCTAACTATCCAATAGCATTTTAGTTGTAAATAAAATAAATACAAATAATATAGGAAAATTAAACAAATTAATATTCTGTTTTTTTTTGTTTATTTGGAGTTAGGAATTATTGCTGTGTTTGAAAACACAATCTAAACGATCGTCTTAATTACTTGTAATGCCCAAATCGAAAATGTAAAAAAAATATTATTTTCCCATAAATAATTAAAAATGCATCGAACCATAAAAATCGAAATATCTCAAAAACGGCTAACTATAACGAAAACTCACAGGAGAGCTTTTCTATGCAGAAAAGTGCGAAGAATTAGTTTTTTTATTCAAAAAGCAAAAAATTGCACTAAGAAAATTTTTTCGGTCATTTTAATATACTACAGGCACAGTAGAGAGCGCCCTCTAGCGGCTACAGTAAAACTATGCCCATGGTTCATTTTTTCGTACCAAAAAACCCTTGTATACCAATTTTCACTATTATACATCAAATATTGTTCGAAATATTTAAAAGAAACTATTTTAGAAAGTAAATTTAAACACCCTGTATTTCGGAAGCCACGCATTTTTCGACCCATGTTTATATAGACTTAATGCATTAATTTTAAAGGTTCTATCGAATCTTAAAGTTATGCAACAATAAACTGAAACACCCTGTAAATAATCAAAGTACTGGATTGATCTTTATAAGATCAAATTCCACAACTCTGGATACATATGGTCCCGTAATTGTTTTCTTACTCTATGGGGAATGTCTAGCAAGCGCAGTTATAGGAAGTCCACAAAATAGGAATTTTTGAGATTAAGGGCAAGTCTGTCTGTCTGTCTTGGGCAGAAGCTATTTCGATTATCGCATTATCTAAACAGTATTTTGGATGGTAATAATTTCCGGAAGTTTTTCATAGCTCTTTGTACCTTCCTTGTAATATTTTTGACACCAGACAAAAACGTGGTTTGCTATACCTACATTAACTGGACTAATTTGTGACTGATAGTTTTTCTTTGATGAAACATCGTTTTGCACCGTATCGTGTAAAGCTAACAAAGAATTAGCGGGAGATAACTTCAGAAATAAATATACTAAGTGACATATAAATCCGAACACCCAGTTTAAATGCTTTTATTTTAATAAAAGTTGGTGAATGTATTTATCTTACTGTAAATAACAAGTGAAAAAATTTTCAGTCTTATCAGTTGGACATTCCGGTTTTTATACTGCTTTTTTTTTAATTCACTAACGCTCTAAAAATGAATATTTCAGCCGCAGTAAAGAATCAACGTTGGCGGATTTTGGTTCTTGACATCCTTTACGATCGGTTACGATGCCTAGAGTACGGAGACCTGTACGATTTCGTCAACTTAGTGAGTTTGATAGGGGCCGTATAGTGGGACTTCGGGAAGCTGGACTTTCTTTTCGGGCAATTGCAGTTAGAGTGCAAAGAAGTGTAGACACTGTGGTTAGGTGTTGTCAGGCATGGCTTCGAGAAGGCCGTACGCAAAGAGCAAGGGGCACTGGACGCCGCCGTAGAACAACAGACCGTGAAGATCGCCGCCTAAGATTATTGGCCTTAAGGGACCGTTTCTCCACTACCAGGTCCATTGCAAATGAATGGTTTGCAGATCACGGAAGACCTATTAGCATGCGAAGTGTTTACCGACGACTGAGAAGTTTTGGCTTGTTTTCATACCGACCACACTGGGTCCTCTCTTTAACTCGAGAACACCGACGTAATCGCCTTGAGTGGTGCAGACAACGGTCACTCTGGGATCAGGAATGGAACAGTATTGTCTTTAGTGACGAGTCTCGATTTTGTTTAGGCATGCACGATGGTCATGCCAGGGTTAGAAGGCGACGTGGTGAAAGGAGGAATCCACAGTTTTTTGTTGAAAGACATGTTCATCACACTGTTGGAGTTATGGTTTGGGGTGCTATAGCTTATGGTTCCAGGTCACCTTTAATCTTCATCAGAGGTAACAAGAACGCGCAGCGTTATATCCACGAAGTTCTAGAACCCCATCTTTTACCCTATCTTGACACCCTGGCAGATCCAACTTTTCAACAAGATAATGCCCGACCACATGTTGCAAGAGTCACAATAGACTTCTTTCAACATAATGATGTCACATTGTTACCATGGCCACCAAGATCTCCCGACTTATCCCAAATTGAGCACGTGTGGGATATGATGGGTAGGAGATTGCTCAATTTGCAACGTCCTCCTCAGACTCTAGAAGCACTTCGAGAGGAGTTGGTGGTTGCCTGGAATGAGATACCACAGGAGGACATTGACCAGCTAATCAGAAGCATGCCTAGGCGCGTTGGAGAATGCGTAGCTCATCAGGGTGCATCCACACATTATTAAAGGTCAAAGGGCTTGAAAGCAGTGCAATCACTTTGAAATTTTTATCATTTACTTATTATGCTTCATTAAGTACTTATACAAAATTTTATTAAAATAAAACCATTTAAACTGGGTGTTCGGATTTATATATCACTCGTATAATACAGTCTCAAAAGTAGCGATTTTCTAAAAATTCTCAAAACTGGCGATAAATCTAAAGCCGCGCCTGAACGTATAAGGATATACATATGTGATTTTTCTGAATGAAAATGGCATTAGATCCATGATCTTTTGAGCGCTCTGTATGATCCAACATATTCCTAATACGTAATTTTTAGCTAATATGGTATGCAATCACTGCTTCCTTCCAATGTCATTACCTTGATCATAACACACCAACAGAGTGATTTATTATGTTTGCATTTATTTAATCTAGATGAACTATATGCTATGCGGATTACCTCGGTCTGTTGTGTGAAATACAGTGTTCAGAATAAATGGTCTGATGCATCAGTTTTCAATTTTGTGTTAAATATAAATTGCCATTTATATCGTGTCCGGAAAATCAGCGGTGGTCACAGATGAATTGTTTTGATAGAATCAATTGATTTTTGTTTTTGCCAGAATGTGAATTTATCAGTTTTCCGTCAAACTGTTTGAAACAATTATCTTCAAATCCAATGTCACCTACTGCGGTGAACTTGTTAGTTAATATTATCAAATATGCTAAGGGTAATTCTATAATTGATGGCCTAATCCTTACACTGTGAATTGAAAATTGTAGCAGACAACAGGGTAACTACTATAAAGGCTGTTTTGGTCCTTACCATAATGATCTCGGAAACGGTGTGAGATACAGCACTTGCTAAATGGAAGCAAGGCTGCACGGTAGCAATGATAACTGGACC